AGTACCAAAGGTAGGTCCCAAGAGGGGACCATGATAGCTTGTGGGGGGTTCCGTCGCTGGGCTCCTTTAAGGAACCGGGTCACCAGGATGTGAGACCCCACCATCTGGTTATCCACTCTAGTATGACTGGCGGAAATTGCCACGTAAACCCTAAGGGTTGAAGCGGAGAGCTTCTTCTCTAGCAAAGACTGCAAAAAACAGTACTATCGGCACAGAAGACTTTTCAGGAGCTACTTTTTGAGCTCTACACCACGCCAAAAAAGTCTTCCACCTGTTGGCATAAAGTTCCCTGGTGGAAGGTGCTCTGGAGTCCCTAATGGTTTGGATCACGGCCTGGTCACACAACTCGAGGAGTGGGTCAGGCCCCTCAAGGGCCACACCCATAGCTGCAGGCGTTCCGGGCTCGGATGCCAGATGCGGCCCCCCAGCTGCGACAGCAGGTCTTGCCTCCTCGGAAGGCACCAAGGGACCCAGTCTAGAAGCTTGTGCATCACTGGAAACCAGAGTCTCCCTGGCCAGTTCGGGGCCACCAACAGGAGCCTGTGGTTGCTCTGCTGCACCCTGTGCAACGTCACTGTTATCAATGGGAATGGCGGAAATGCATAGAGGAGACAATCTGGCCACGGGTGTGCCAGGGCATCCTGTCCCAATGGACTCGTTTCCTCCCCCAGTGAAAACCAAAGGGAGCAGTGGGTTGTGGACTCTGAGGCAAACAGGTCCACTTCTGCCGTGCCATATTTGCCCCATATTTCCTCTACCTGGCGTCTGGCAGGAGAGGTAGTCACCTCTTCTGTGGCCCCGGCAAATACATGGCCTTGAGGCTGGCCAAGCGGGGGAAAGCCCATACCAGGAGTTGCCGTGCCACCTGCAGCGACGTGGCCGACCTGGTGCCCCCTTGCCGATTTTTACATGGTAGATAGCAGACGTGTTGTCAGATCGAACAAGAATATGCCTGCCTCTCAAATACGGCAGGAACTCGTACAGCGCCAAACTGATAGCCCGGAGTTCGAGCACATTTATGTGCTTCATCCTTTCCTGGCTCGTCCAGAGGCCACACACTGTCCTGTGCTGCCACACTGCCCCCCACCCTGTGGGCGACGCGTCGGTTACCACTACCTCCCGACGTGATGGGATCAAACCCAGTGAGATGCCCTTGGACCGATATGCCCCATCTCTCCATGGCCGTAACACTAGTAGGCATCGGGTGGACACCCCGACTCTCTTGGATCTGTGTAACTGCGGATCTAAATGGAGGCCATTGATCCAAATTTGAAAGGGGCGTAAATACAGGAGGCCCAGTGGCACCACTGATGTGACAGAGGTCAACATACCCATAAACCTGAGAAAAAGGCTGTACCTCAACCTCCTGTCCCTCTGGAAATGACGGAGAAGCTGGAGTATGGCCTCTACCCGCTGTGGAGTTGGGAAAGCCAGCATGTGACAGGAGTCCCGGGTTAATCCAATGAACACCACCCTTTGGCTCGGTATCAGACAGCTTTTGGCGTAATTGACCTTAACACATGACATAGAAGGGAGGCGTCCTGCTCCACCTGTTCCTGGCTCGGAACACAAATAAGCCAGTCGTCCAGATATGGGAGGATCTGCATACCACTGGCTTGCATCGAGGCCAGTGCTGCCCACATGCACCTCGTGAAGACCGTTGGGGCTAGGGAAAGCCCGAATGGGAGCACCTTGAACTGATAGGCCATGCCCCCGAATGCAAAGCGCAGATACTGCCTGTGATGTATCGCTATCGGGACATGAAAATATGCATCCTTCAGATCGATGGACGTGAACCAACTTTGCGCCGCCACGGCGTGGAGCACATCTGTTGTACGCAGCATGTAGAAAGGCAACTCTTTCAGAAATTTGTTTAGCCCCCGTAAGTCCAGTATAGGGCGAAACCCACCCTCTTTTTTTGGAATCAGAAAATAAACTGAGTAAAACCCACCTTGCTGTGTCCAAAGATCTATTATTTCGATGGCCTCCTTTTCCAGGAGGGTTGATATTTCTTGTCTCATTTCCTGAGACTTTGTGGAATTGGTGACTGTGGTCAGCCTGATCCCACTGAAAACTGGGGGCTGGCGTCGGAACTGAAGATTGTACCCTTGGGACGCCATAACCCTGTGAAACCCTGTCTCAGTAGGGGTGTAGGCCCCTGAAGGCTAGCAAACTGCTGCCTAGTTTAGTTAGCCTGGATTCCCCACTCCAAAGCCTGCTGCGCTGTAGGGCCAAATAGCTCCCCTGGTACTACAGGGAGAGTGCGCAGGGCCCTCCTGCCTGGCTCCAAAAGCAGGGATTGGGCCAGCCAGACCTGGCGATGAGCCAAGGTAAGTGTTGCCATTAGCCTACCAAGCTCTCTAGTCATAAGGGCAAACACCTGCAAAGCTGCATCACTGAGGCTGTGGACAGAAGCATCCACGCCAGAGGATTGTAGAGACTGGGACAGAGCTAATATCAGGTTGGAAAAAGAGTTCCCAATACGGCCCGGTCTCAACACTTCAGTGGGTGACACAATGAGGGACGCGATAACTGGCTCCACAGCCGGCATCTGGCCCAGCTCGTAACTGCTGGCATTCTGCATGGCAGCCAAGGCCCTGCAGTCAGTTGTGTGGTGAGAAAAAGCCTTGGGGTCTGGCCAGCATTTGTGGAGCTCCTCAATGTATGGCTGGGAAGGTGGCACAGAAAAACCCGCCTCCGGTGGGAGATACCTAAAGAATGCACTAGCTGTGGTACCTGCAGTTGGTGCTTCATCCAAGCCCAAGCGTGCCAGTGCCATACGGACCACTGGCTTAATTGTGGCATGGGCAGCCTCTGAGCCTGCTCAGGACCCGCTCCACAAATGCTGGGAACCGGTGTCAGAAGCACGGGTGGAAGCCTCTACTTCTCCCTGCCCAGGTCTGTCCTCGCAAAACTGGCTGCAGGAAGCCCTCGTAGACAGTGCATCGTCATCCCATCCATGAGGGGTGGAGCCCCCGGCTGGGCAGTCCACACTGGTTGCAGCCCCCCTGCTTGGCTGAAGGTTAAGGAGGAACCCCTTAATCTCAGCAAATTCTGAGGCTAGTGTGTCTACCTTGGCCGCCAAACCATCCACCTTCTTGGCTTTCTTTCTAGGGGGGGCACCTGAAAGTGGGGGGCGACTATGTCTACTCCGCACCTGTGAGGCCACAGAAGGCCAGATGAAGGCAACTGGCCTTCAAGCTGCAGTCCTTCCACTTCCGCTAGCCAAGCTAGCTTCAGTTCCCGTGGCATAAAACTGCAATTCATGCACTGACTGTCCAACAGCCCCTCTGTCAAATGAGTAACAGCGAGGCACATGGGGGATTCATCATGGCCATCTGCAGCCAGCAGCGGAGCCATGCAGGAGCGACAAACATGTGTCCCTAATATGGTGGGACCCTGCATATTTTTGCAGCTTTTATATATATATTTTTTCACAACAATAACTGTTATCTAGGAGCGAAAACACCCAAAATAACAGATCAAAGTGAGCTCCTATGTCCTTGCCTTGTTATTGAAGACGCATGAAAATAATAATAATAATAATAATCCTTATTTGTAGAGCACTTTTCAAAAACAAGTTACAAAGTGCTTTAACAAGTGTAAAGAATAATACAAAAAAAACAAGATAAGAGCATGAAAAATATATATAAAATCAGTAAAATACAATAAAATAAAAGGGATAAAATACAGTCAAATAAGATCGGGAAAAGCTCTCCTATAAAAGTATGTTTTAAGAAGGGACTTAAAAGAGTTCACTGACTCAGCCGACCTGATTTCCTCGGGCAGGCTGTTCCAGAGCCTCGGGGCCCTGACAGCAAACGCTCTGTCCCCTTTAGTTTTCAGTCGAGACTCTGGAACAGACAACAGACCTCTGCCCGAGGATCTCAAGGTACGTGCTGCAAAATAACTCCTCCTTTTCACAATAAACGTAAACTGTACCCATAAGCGAAATCACTTAGAGTAACATATCAGAGAGAGTCTGTCTTTTATTTTAACTCAAATTAAATAACTCTCCTTTACTTAATAATCAAAAAAAAAAAATCACCCATATGTAGCTTTATGTACCGGAGAGCCAACAGCTGACAAAAACACAGATCTAACAGCAGGTTTAGGAGTGCAGCCGTACTAATTAATCGCAGCCCTTGGAGGACGATACCGTAGCTCCAACCATGCGGTTGCAGGGCTTCAAGCGACAATACGATGGCTATTCTCTCATCCTTCCTTCCTTCAATTCAACCTGCATTTGCGGATCTGCGAGAAGAATCAAGGGACATTTTTCCTGATGACGTGGGCTTATATAAGCTACGCCCCGCATCATCCCAGGTCACAGGTGACTTTGTTGATATTAAATACTCGACCTGCGCGTATGGAATGGATGGAATGGATTGCAGTTATCGGGATCGGGCACACGGGGTCATAAAAATTAACATTCTGATTAATGGCGGGTGGGTTAAATAGGGTGAAGCGTCTCCTTACTAAGACACAGCAGTGTAACTTCATTGGTTATTTAAATCTCCCAACACGCCGACAGATCAGTCAGGATCTTATGTTAAATAATGATGTGTGTTCTTTTACACATCAAAAGGTCTCACACACAGTCCAGGTTCATACAGGGAAATTGTTTGGAGAAAAGTAGTTATCCTCCTGATAAACTAAAAGTTTTAGTTTAGTTTTGCTGCTTAAATGTCCCACAATGTTTGCTGTGACATTACTGCATGCACGGAAATGGTTGTCCTCAGCCTCTCTAATCATTAAAGAAAACACTCATACACTGAGACACTCTCACACATGATATAAACCTACAGAGACCAGCAGAGATGGGGTGAAATTTCCGTGTGGGTGTGGGTCTCTTAATCGAAAAAAAAAGTATTCAGGGTGCGTACATGCAGATTTGGATAACATCAGAGCCGATCTGTGCATCACTAATAGAAATACATTTTTACTGTGTGTTTGTCAGTGGTGCGTTAATAAAATGTGTGTGTTTTTTTATTACTTACTTCATCTCCAGGACCTCCTCCAGGTGCTTCCGCCTCTCTGCCCGCAGGGCGGTCAGGTGACCTTCCTTCTCAGCCAGTGAAAGTTGAGTTGATGACAGCTTGGCTTTCATCACCTCCAGTTCCTGTTTCACCTTCTCCATGGCAACCAGCAGGTCTTCCACCTGACATACACACACACACACACACACACACACACACTTTAACACATTTCAAACATGGCTTCTGTTTTTTCCAAATTCTCTGTCTCAATGTGATATTTATAATTAATTTTAACCTTCAACTTTTTCATTTGCTTTTGCTTTCCACAGATTTCAGCCTTTGTTTCTAAGCGTTCCTTTGTCCTTCAGTCTGTGTGTGTGCATGTGACAGCAGCTGTGCTTTTGAAATGTTATAAAATCATTTCCCTGTTTTCACATGAGATGCTCGATTGCAGAACATCAAACGTGTCACTTTTCTTCTCTGTGTTTTCTTTTTCTCTTTACGTTGTTTCCCTTTCTCTTGTCTTATATATATTCTATCTAAGTCTCTCTCTGGGTAAATATATCAGTTTGTCAGTTTAATGTCTGAAGTCGGACTGTCAAGGTCACTGTATTTCTCACAGCGTGATGACAATCTGGCCTGCCACCACAAACACACATGTGCAGACCACTGAACAGATGTACCCACACAAATATAGCAGCACACACAAAAACATACAACCATTTTCTTTTTGGATACTTCTTTCTCACTTTTCCAGTGATATATTCCCTGTGTATCTGAAGAGTTGAAGTAGAAAGAAAGGAGAGCAGCAACATGAGACAAAAGGCAGAAGAAAAAGGATTAAGACTGAGAGAGAATGACAGTCACATGTTTTATAAAAAATAGACAGCATTAGCAGAAATAAAAAAAAGTAAAAACCCTGAAGATGAGCTGAAACTGAAAGAAGCTCCTGTTCAGACAGAAGCAGGGATCGACAGAAAAAAAATCCAATAAATGTCTATGATTTTTTACTAATTATCTCACAAGTCTTCTCCATCACTTCTTTCCCACAATGCCAGTTCCTCTCATTTACAAATTATTACGTCATATCTGGTCAATATATTTTCCCTCAGTGTTCTTTGAACCAACAAGTGGTTGGGTGCTGCTCTTTCATATTCAAATTCACTGCAGCTCTGTCATTTCCCCTGCCAATCCTGCCCCACCACCACCTCCTCCATCATCACTGTGATCTTCAGATCCCATGTGATACTTTCTGGCTTTCCTCCACCACTTTTAGCATCTAGACTAGTGATTGTCTCCTTTCTTCTATCTCCATGGGCCTTCTGAAGATACAACACATTAATGGAGTTTATGGTCTTTCTCTGTTGTTGTTGTAACAAATATTGTTATACAACTGGATTTTTACTCCTTTTAGAAAAAATGCATAGGGCTGATGGGAGATGGAACAGTAAAGAAGGATTTGTGATCAACTTCCCATGCTGCAGTGCATTAAAACAAAAATGTGAAAAATGTGAGTGGAGTGAGTGGAATGAGAAAAAGTTGAATGTTGAAGACATGAATGAAAGATGAATGAATTATACGATAAAAGACTGGTGAGTGAGGTTTGTGATGATTGTTTGTTACCTTTGACCACCTAAAGCCGGCTGTGGTGAACTCATGCATTGGGATGTGAGAGAGCTGCATACAAAAAGAGCAGAGCGATAGAGAGAGAGAGGGAGAGAGAGAGAAAGACAGGGACAGGAAAGAGAAAACAGAGAATGAGAAGGGGATGGTGACGGTGAGGGACGGGAATGAGAAAGAAATACAACAGAAGGAACAAAAGAAAATGAGCACAGAAAAAGGGAAAGAGCAATGGTGGATTTAGGGAGGGAACGAGGGATACAATCAACAGGCAGAGGGAAGGAGGGAGAAAAGAGTATGAAAGCAGGAGAGAGGTGTAATAGAGGACATATAGAGGACAATAGAGGAGAAAAAAATCAAAGGCACAAACAATGGTTATAAAGAGGAGAAAAGAGAGGGTGGATACGATTAAACACGCAGGGAGGAAAAGCAGAGAAAAGGAGAGGAGAAAGAGAAAAGCTGTAAAAATGTTTAAGATAAACTGTACAGCAAAAGGGGAGATAGAGAAAGCAAAAGAAACAAATGCACATGAGAGAGATAAAAAGATACAAGAAAGTGCAGACAGTGCAAAATGCTGAGCAGTCAGAAACACAGGCAGTGTTAAAAATGCAATTCAGACAAGACCGCAAGAGGAGGAGAGGAGAGGAGAGGAAAGGACCAGAGAAAAGGAGGAGACAGATGACTGTAGAATAAGGACAGAAAAAGGAAGACATGGAGGGGAAAGGAAGAGGGAAAGACCTTTGGCCGACATCAGAGATGTAGATGGAGGGATGCAAGGAGGGGTGAGGAGTGACAAGGCCCGGCTGGAAAAGAAGGGGCTGGAGGGGAGGAGGACAGCAACCCCTTCAGTCTTCCGAATGTGTGTATTTGTGTGTTTTTGAGGGTAAGAACTTGATTTTAAGAAGAAAGAAAGAAAGACAAAGGTTCACTGAGTTCAAAAATGAAAATTGTCTGGTTAATAAAAGACGGAAAGGTGGAGAAGAAAACGTCTGTCTTTAGTTTCGTCTCTGAAGAGACAGATGGAGTGTGTCATACTGTTGACTCATTTTTGTCACACACACACACACACACACACACACACACACACACACACACACACACACACACACACACACACACACACACACACACACACCTTTCTTCAGTGATCACACATACAGTAGTGACTCATGTCTAGCAGAGAAGGTTTAATATATTTTCATGTGGTCTTGGTCAACCGATTTTGCCAGATACAGACACACACACACACACACACACACACACACACACACACACACACACTCACACGGGTTGTCAACAAACTAAAGGTGTGTGTGCGTGTATGTCCACCTATATAGTCAGGGTGTGTGTGTAAATCTGCCTGGTTTGGTGCATGTGTATGTGCGCGCCAACACTATAATATGTGCCTTTGAACAGGCCGTCCTCATTAAGGGAGGAAATTGTCTCTCCCTCTGTCATCATTTTATAAATCATTATGTGAAAGGTTAATTGCAGTGACGCAGTTGTAAAACAGGAACACAAAAATATTTATTTACAATTTACTCATGTATATAGAGACACGTTTCCAGTTAGAAAACCAAAGTCGCGTCCATCTGGCTCCTGCTGAATGCAATGTTGTGCTGCTGCTGTTTAAATAGCAGTTAGCACTTCTTTCCGCCGTGTGTGTGTGTGTGTGTGTGTGTGTGTGTTGGGAGGAATGTGTGAATGTATGAGGGACGCTGTCTTGTGTGTTACTATCCTGCCTGTGCGTGCATGTGTGTCTGTGCTGTAAGGCTGAGTTAGTGTTGTTGATATTGGGTGAGGTGACTGTTTGGCTGCCATCTCCACTCATTCACCACACGCTGACGTTTCTTCTCCTTCCTTCTTCACTGAAGCATTTTAACGCGAGGACACTCTCCAGCACCCTGTCCTGGCCTAAATGGCCTCAGTTATGTCTAATTAAAGCTGCCACTTTGTAGCATTTTCAAGTATTTCAATATATTGCTGCCAAATTAAATGTGACAGCTTTGCACAATCACTGTAAACAAATTAAACCACAGTCAACTTCAGTAGGATAAGCATGTTGATTAAACATGATTTATTTTCCATCTTTCTGTGTTACTTGTTCCTACCTTTGTATTTTGAGAAAACCCAAAGCCTTAGGCCTAGGGTGACTAGGGCTAGCTACCGGTACATTCAGTGTCAATGAACACTAACACACTTGAAAATCAAAACACAATGCTAGAATTAATTACTTTTGTTCATGAAGTCACCTGTCTGTTATTAGGAAAAACACAACTGTGGATATGTAGGTAAGTCATGATCTTTTACCTAATTTTTACATTTATTTTATTCATGTCATCAGTGCAGTGTCACATCTGTCTGCGCAATGCGCGTGTCAGCTCTCTCCGCCGTAGCTGCCTGAAGCGACCTGTCCTCGCAACTGTAACTTCCACTAACCACAAGAAAACAAAAAGGGGAAAAGGGCACGAGTGTTACTTTGTGGCTATAACAACGCTGGTGACACAATTTACAGATAACCTGCAACCCCTGCTGGAGCCTGAGAACTACACAACAATCAGTATTAAATGTTTAATTAGGCTATAATCAAAAGTCGTGTTAAGTCTAATTTTCGGGACAAACCGGATTCATTTTTTGGGACGTTTGGTCACCATACTAGACATAGAGGAACCGAATCTTCTCTGCAAATGTGTCTTTGTTTTGTGGAATTGTAATTAAGCCACAGGTTACTACTGTATCAACTAATTTGTTCCAGGAACTATAGAATCACATAAACTAAAAACTGAACTAAAGGTCCCTTTGGTGTATTCTTGTTTGTGTTCCCACCGGATCTGAAGAACCATACCGATTAGGCAAATTAGTCAGATAATGGATTAAAAAATGATGGCAGCATTTGTGACGTAAGAGACAAAAACACACAACAACACACGACTGTTGTTCTTTTTAATGGAAAAAGAACAACTGGAAATGGAGACTGGAAGCTCCAGGAGCGCTTGTCTCCATTCCAGTCTTCTTAATGTGTTTCATGGTTATCTATTTCTGCTTTCATAGGCTACATGAAGCAAATAGCAAATAAAATTTAGTTTCCCTTGTTCACTTGCTTTGCTCTTTTTTATCACCACTTCTGCTCTCTTGTTTGCTTGTGCACTAAGCTCATTCGCACACAGTCTCTCTCTTCATCTTACTTTTCTGAGAACTGAGAAGAAGGTTTGTGTGTGACCCATCAGTTTCGTCGCCCCAAGAGATTCTGTGCCATCAGAAAGTAATACCCCCTGAGCGGGGAATTTTTTAGGGACCAGATACTATGGCCAAGGTACTAAATTTAGACCTTTGCTCCTTCAGTCTAAATGCAGGTTAGGTTCCTGACATGGTTCCTGGGCGCCCAGAAAAGTCACTGCGGTGGAAACTGGCTATGTGAGGCTGTCCTCTATTGACGTCCAAGTAACAAAGCCCTCTAGCGGCCGTAGTAGTTATGACTTTTATCCTTCAGTAGCAAAAGAGAAGTCAGGTGACATTATTATAGAGCTACAAAGTTAACATAGGGTGGAGGTCACAAAGGATGGACATGTCAACAAAACCTCTCACTTAAACACGGAGACCAAGTTTGTTTCCTGATTCCTATCACAAGTCAACGTTGCTGTTCTTTTAATCATGACCGCAGTCATTCTCTAACCTTAGCCACGTGGTTATTATTGTAACATGATAACATATCACAAAATGTGATAAATTATAAAATAGATCTTTTTTGATAAACTATACAAATTATGTATTTTGTTGAGTAATTTGGAGAAAATAATGCACCTGTACTTATAGAGACATACACATATCTGCTTGTATGAACCCATCATATTTGGAGTCAAATATCCTCTGAAATGCTATTTCTTTTTGGTTGCATCATTACATCAAAAGAAAAATCCAAGCTGTTGTGTGCATCATTTTAAACATGTTTTCCTGTAGAACTTGGCATCTTTGAAACTTCAGGATCTTGACTAGAATTGGAAATAAAGTTTTGAGTATGAATGGTACAGGTCCGCACATGACCTGAAACATTTGTTTTGTAAACCTAGTTAAATCTTTGCTAAATGAGCATAATTCATCATGGCAATGACAAAACAACCATCAACAATTTGCCTCTGTCTGTCCATCATCTTCTTACATCCATTTGCTTTGCTGTCTATCTGGAACTTATTCTGCTGCGGCAGCCATTAACATTAACCATGGACGAGGGTGTAAGCAATAAAATGTGTTTTTGCATGCCTGTCTTTATGTGTCTGTTCAGAAGTAGCCTGGTACGTAAAGGCCAGAGAGGACGGCCAACATTTAGAGGCAGTAATAACAATGGTGTCCAGCCGTTTTGCCAACAGCTACAGTGTGCCATGTTTTCTCAGGGCAGTTTTCATCCTTACAGCCCACGCTGTTTTTTCCCACTTGTCAAAACCTATCCAGGCTCTGAAGAACATTTCCCATCTCTATGGCCTCGTTAAGTCACTGGTACCCAAGGGAATGACACACACATACTCACTGGTCATAGGCTGAATCCACTAAACCCTTCCCTTCCCTTCACCGATATGAGCTTTCCTACTGTCTCAATATAGATAAAAGAGATTGCAAATTGGAGTGGTCGGCTTGTGCTCCTTTTAAAAAAAAGCTGTTTGTGTGTTGGCGGCTAAAGTGGACAAAATACAAGCTCTTTAAATAGGGATGTATTTACCTCTCCTCCAAATGAGGAGTGACTGGGCAAACACATACACACAGCCCCACCTGAATGAGCTCAGCTGGCACAGGGCATGTGTATTACCGCTGCCATGAGCCACTTTTGGCATAGGTATGTGAGTATTTATGTTAAAAGATGTTTGTCTGTGTGTGTTTCCCTGTGTGTCTGTCTAAATGTCCCGCAAAGGCAGAAAAATGTAAGAAATTCCGAGAAGTGAAATTATGTGAACAAAAAAATATACAATATACAAATATACAATATCCTACAAAAGTGAGTACACCCCCTACATTTTTGTTAATATTTAATCATACCTTTTCATGTGACAACACTGAAGTAATGACACTTTGCTACAATGTAATGTACTGACTGTACGGCTTGTAAAGAAGTGTAAATTTGCTGACCCCTCGAAATAACACATCACATAACCATAAATGTCTAAATCGCTGGAAACAACAGTGAGTACACCCCTGAGTGAAAATGTCCAAATTGGGCCCATTAGCCATTTTCCCTCCTCGGTGTCATGTGACTCGTTAGTGTTACAAGGTCTCAGGTGTGAATGGGGAGCAGGTGTGTTAAATTTGGTGTTATTGCTCTCACACTCCCTCATACTGGTCACTGGAAGTTCAACATGGCACCTCATGGCAAAGAACTCTCTTAGGATCTGAGAAAGAAGAATTGTTGCTCTACATAAAGATGGCCAAGGCTATAAGAAGATTGCCAAGACCCTTAAAACTGAGCTGCAGCACGGTCGCCAAGACCATACAGCAGTTCAACAGGACAGGTTCCACTCAGAACAGGTCTTGCCATGGTCGACCAAAGAAGTTGAATGTACGTGCTCAGTGTCATATCCAGAGGTTGTCTTTGGGAAATAGACGTATGAGTGCTGCCAGCATTGCTGTAGAGGTTGAAGGGGTGGGGGGTCAGCCTGTCAGTGCTCAGACCATACGCTGCACACTGCATCAAATTGGTCTGCATGGCTGTCGTCCCAGAAGGAATCCTCTTCTAAAGATGATGCAGTCAACTTGGGACTTCATTACATCCTGCAACACCTCGACTGTCCAGGGACATATGCAAGGATCCTGTTCGTGGACTTCAGCTCGGCGTTCAACACCATCATCCTGGACATCCTCAGCACCAAACTTACCCAGCTCACTGTGCCAGTCTCCAACTGTCAGTGGATCACAAACTTCCTGACTGACAGGTGTCAGCAGGTAAGACTGGGGACATCACATCCAGCACCCGGACTATTAGGACTGGCGCCCCCCAGGGGTGTGTGCTCTCCCCACTGCTTATCTCCCTCTACACCAACGACTGCACCTCAGGTGGCCCATCTGTCAAACTCCTGAAGTTCGCTGACGACACAACGGTCAGCAGCCTCATCCGGGACGGTGATCAGTCGGCCTACAGACAGGAGGTTGATCAGCTGGTTCTCTGGTGCGGTCAGAACAACCTGGAGCTTAACACGTTCAACTGTGGAGATGACCGTGGACTTCAGGAGGAGCCCCCCCACTCTGCCCACCATCACCATACTCAACAGTCCTGTGTCTGCTGTGGTATTCTTCAGGTTTCTGGAATCCACTATATCCCAGGAGCCCAACACTGACACTATCATCAAGAAGGCCCAGCAGAGGATGTACGTCCTGCACCAGCTCAGGAATCTCAACCTGCCTAAGGAGCTGCTGATCCACTTCTACACAGCCATCATCCAGTTTGTCCTCTGCACGTCCATCACTGTCTGGTTTGGATCTGCCACCAAAAAGGACAGAAGCAGGACTGCAGAAAAGATCATCGGTGCCAACCTGCCCTCCATTCAGGACATTTCCAGAGTCAGGAAATGGGCAAGAAACATCACTACAGATCCATCTCACCCTGGACACAACTTGTTCCAGCTTCTCCCCTCTCGTAGGCGCTACAGAGTACTGTACGCCAAAACCAACAGAGTCAGCAACAGTTTCTTCCCACAAGCCATCACTCTGATGAACAGCTGACTCTGACTCACAATGTCAGGAACAATTCCTGTCCAATAATTCCTGCTGACTGGCTACCAATTACCATTTATTTATTCATCATTCTCCATTTCAAAGCTTTTCATACTGTTCATATTGTCATATTGTATATACTGTATACCAAAACCACCTACCTCATGTACATAACACCGCACATAATACTTATTTATTCCAGCATTCTTTGCACTCATCACACTGTGTACATGTATGCTTGCATGTGTATGTGCACCTGTTTATCACATCCACCTCCGACATGTACATAATAATAACAATAATGGTGATAACAATTTACTCCTGGAGTACTCCTCTGCTCATGGCACTATTGCACTATTGTCTCAATCTGTCTGTTTTATTTATAGTGTATATACATGTGTTCTCACTACTGTATTGTTATTGTATTATTGTATAAGTAAGCAAATCATGAGCATTGTACAATCCAGAGTCAAATTATTTGTATGTGTACACATACCTAGTAAACAAAGCTGATTCTGATTCTGATTCTGACAAGAAAGCCCGCAAACAGTCTGCTGAAGACAAGCAGACTAAGGACATGGATTACTGGAACCATGTCCTGTGGTCTGATGAGACCAAGATAAACTTATTTGGTTCCGATGGTTTTGAGCGTGTGCGGTGGCAGCCAGGTGAGGAGTACAAAGACAAGTGTGTCTTGCCCACAGTCAAGCATGGTGGTGGGGGTGTCGTGGTCTGGGGCTACATGAGTTCTGCCGGCACTGGGGAGCTACAGTTCATTGAGGGAACCGTGAATGCCAACACGTACTGTGACTATTGAAGCAGAACATGATCCCCTCACTTCGGAGACTGGGCCACAGGGCAGTATTCCAACATGATAACGACCCCAAACACACCTCCAAGACAACCACTGCCTTGCTATAGAAGCTGAGGGTAAAGGTGATGGACTGGCCAAGCATGTCTCTAAACCCTATTGAGCATCTGTGGGGCATCCTCAAACAGAAGATGGAGGAGCGCAAGGTTTCTAACATCCACCAGCTCTGTGATGTCGTTATGGATGTCCATGGATGTCACGGAGCTGGTGGATGTTAGAAACCTTGCGCTCCAGTGGCAACCTGTGAAGCCCTGGTGATCTCCATGCCCAAGAGGGTTAAGGCAGTGCTGGAAAATAGTGGTGGCCACACAAAATATTGACATTTTCATCCCAGTGTGGACATTTTCACTTAGGGGTGTACTAACTTTCGTTGCCAGCGACATTAATGGCTGTGTGATGGGTTATTTTGAGGGGACAGCAAATTTACACTGTTATACAAGCTGTACACTCACTACTTTACATTGTAGCAAAGTGTCATTTCTTTAGTGTTGTCACATGAAAAGATTTAATTAAATATTTAGAAAAATGTGAGGGGTGTACTCAGTTTTGTGAGATTACGTATTTTTTTGTTCACATAATTTCGCTTCTTGGGATTTCTTACATTTTTTCCTTTGCTGGACATTTAGACAGACACACAGGGAAACATACACACTTTTGTGAGATACTGTAACTGATAGGGGTTGAGTCTAAGGAAAGGTTTGGGTCGCACAGTTACTGGTTGGGGGTAGGGATTCTCCTTAGACATGCAGCAACACACTTCTGTGTATGTGTGTTTGCTACTGAGAGAGACAGTACCTGTTTATCGGACTGTGTGCGTGCCTGCTCCTCCTGGGCAAGCACCACCTCCCTCTCCGCTGTGATCTGAACGCTTTCCCTCAACGCCTCCTCCAGCTCCTCAATGCGCTCCTCCTTCTGACGTAGGGCGTCCTACAGAGAGAAAGTTTGCAATGTAAAGAGAGTGAGCGGTTCCTGCTCCTTCAATAAACTGTTCCAGCGCTGAGACCATCAGTTGATTAATCCAGCGTTTATTATTGCACTACAACCATGCAGCTCTGTGAGGCTCTCCTTAGGCACAGCGGTGCTTCTAGTTAAATGCTAACATTGGCATGTTAAAATGCTCTTAGTGACAAAGTTAACTTGCTTTAGGTCTGGGGAATTGTGACTGTGATTTTCTGACATTTCATTGAACAAACATAATAGTAAATTGCAGCCCTAGATACTTGTAATACCCAGTATGACATAATATAATATAATGTTAGTTTTCTGGGTATTCAAATGGTTTTATTGTGTCTAAAAAGGATTATTTAATTTAAGCATACAGCATCCAGAAAATCTATTGGCTTACTCATATACATTATAAAACTTTCCTTAATCTAACATCCTTCGTATATCTGACAGACTGTGTATTACTAAATCAAATCAGTTTCCTGTAACATCAATTTTCCCTGTCACATCCTGCTTAACACGTCCCGTGTCAGGAAACCTTGGACACTCCTCATTCCAGTTTGCTGCTCCCAGTGACTGGAATAAGCTGCAAAAGACTTGCAAATTAGACAATCTGAACTTATTCTGCCTCTGAGGACTCCCAGGAATTCCCAATCACACGTGAAGCTGTTTCTAAGTAAAGTCACTACATGAACTTCCCCTCTAATTCCCAATAAAGACCTATTTTCCTCCAGCCAGGCAATTGACTTTCCAGCTTAAATTGGAGTTGAATGAATAACTGATGCAGACGGAGTGGGAGGGAAAGGATGAGATATTACAGTGGCCCATGAACAAACCTCCAGGACATGTGCTGTGCATCTGAATCCTGCTCCAGATCCAACATTACTTGGTGTCTAACTATGCAGACTGAGATGGACTTTAATTGGATTAAATCTTCTTATTGTATTGAATTAAATTTACGGCCTGATCTATGCTCGCATTCCATTTTCAGCCTTCAGTGCTGGTTAAACTATGCAGAATGGCTTACGGTTGACACGCACACTAGTCATGGTTGTAACCACTGCGGTCTCAAAAGCCCGATTGACTCACATAGCTATCAGCTCATCTCCTAACCACACTCATACACATAAATGACAACTTCCAAACTCCTGAAACCAAAAAATCAATCTTAGCCAGAGGGAGCTTATTCACACACACACACAAACACACACAGAAAGAGTGTTTTCATCTGCCTCTAATCAGAGAGACCACTGAGGTTAACGATTACTGGAAGAAGAGGGGGAGGAGGAAAAAGTGGATGGATAAGGGAAAAAAAGGAAAGAGGAAGTCAGGGAGAGTTTAAGGGAAATTAGGGGTGAATAAATGAAATTAAAGGTAGAGATATAGAGGTGAAAAAAAAAACTGACTGACTGACTGAAATATGATGAAAACCACAGTCACAATTATCACCCCGCATCTGGCTGTTCATCTTGTGGTCCCTTGACACCCCAGCAGATAATTAGGAGATGCGCTCACACCACAGGAGGCATTTGAAAATCCACATCATCCACTACATGGTTTAGTGCGTGGGCCCCTCATGTCTTCCATAATCACCTCTCTTCCTCACCTCTTTTCTCCCCCTCATTTCTCCAACCATTTTTCCTCCTCTCCCTCTCCTCTCCATCTTCTGTCTGTTCTCCCTGTCAATCATCCTCTTCAGCCCCCCCCACCCCCTAACACTCCCTGAGCGAGAGCTGCATCGTGCGCACGTGTGTGTGTGTGTGTGTGTGTGTGTGAGTGAGTGTGTTTGACATTGCCTCAGGCTGCTCCCTGTCACAATTGTCACGTTATGATGAAGCATTGTTGTGATAGCAGACAATATTCAAGGTAGGACAGAGAGAAGGAGGGAAACTTTTTCTTTCTTACTTTTTTCACCCCTCCCACCCCCATCACCCTCACCCACTAACTCCCAGCTTCCTCCTCTACCTCCTCCCTCCACCTCCTCTTCCTCCTTCCAAACCTTTATCTGCTGGGAGCTTTCGTTCAGATTGTCCTCTCTCTTCTTGGCATCCTCCATCATCTGGGCATTCTTGCTCTTCTCCACCTGCTCCTTGTGTTTCATGTTGGCCACCTTCTTTGACTGGTCCTTCATCTGCCTGCACACACACACACACACACACACACACACACACACACACACACACAATACAACATCAAAGTCAATGCATCATCTACAAACAGTATTTCTAAACACTCCCAGGAGACAAAGTTGCAAAGTTTTGAAAATCTCATTCCCAATAATTCTTTGTTTAGTTTCAATACAGAGTGTCCAGATATCATACCATACATCTGAACTGATGACATTGACACACATGCCAACAGAACAAACACAGTTTTGACTTCCTTATTTTTGTGACAAATTAGATTCCTGTATGTCTTCATAACTTGTAATTGTGTTTCACCAATCGTGACCAAAAAAGTTTGCTTGGAGTTCACAAAGTTAAGATGCATTCAGACTGCAGCCGAGATAGCGTAAGCATTCTCCCAATGCCATTTGTGCATATTTAATCCGTACGTAGGAACCTTTTGCATGTTTTTTTTAACCATTTATGCCATTTATGTTGTCGCTAATTTGCATCATACATTATTTATATATACTAAATTTATATCTATCCTGTGTGCTATAGACAAATTAACAATCGCCACTTAATTTAGCATCAGCTTGAAAGCAGAAAGTCAAATAATTAATTTCTTTATATAGTTGTAAATAAATTCTGGCATCAAGTGTTTAGAAGTAACAATATAGTAATGCACACCAAAAATTAGGCACTTGTAATGGCAGTGGTCTATTTAGAAGAGAGGATAATTGCACACTGAGCTCCAAAAATGTCTTTGCATCACTAGCATTTGGACTACAAAAATTTGAAAGAAGGTTGAAAAAAAATATATCATAACAATTAATATTTGCATACAATACCTCTAAGAGTATGACTCAAACATATTTAACTGTCTCAATAACCTCGTCTTAAAACATTTATCTAAGTAAGAGCTTAGAGGAAAGGGACAAATGGGCCTATATTCATTTAGCCACTTAGATTATGTCCAAAAAATGCACACATTCCTCAATAAAATGGTGCATCCTGGTGGCCTCTCTAAGTTGCTGACCATATAAGCTCAACATCCCGAGGTCAAGTCCAACCAGGGAACTTTTCTGCATGTCGTTCCTTCCCTCTTTCCCCTTATTTCCCTTAAATAAAAGCTAAACACGACAAAAACACAGAGAAGTTGTTTAGAATGGTGCTACTTCAAAAAAAGAAAAGAATAAAGAACTGGTTAGGCCACAAGAAGTACCAGCTATATGCTATAAAAGCATTAAACACCATTGTCGACCCCACATGCTGCAACTGTATTCCCTGGCAGGTCACACAAGTGCAGCTGATATTTAATATATAGAGTGGAACATATTCATGACACGCTGTCTGTTAGTGCCATTAAGATGATTCTGCAAGACTATCTGATTTGCTATTCTATGCAATACAGCGCCATAATGAAATCCCGTAGGGCCAATATAATGTAAAGATCAGTAAATTCATTAAATAAAAAGCTATGAATTAATCACTAGATAGCATTTAAGGTTTCTCCAAAGTATGGAGGTCTTTTCATGGAGGGATTACTGGATGTCGGGGAGCAGAGTCTAAATCATCATCTGGGGAATGAAGGAGAGAGAGAGCAAGAGTAAAAGATGGCGAATGAGAAATAGAGTTCCCTCATGGGAGCAGCAGGGTTGGGAGCTGGAGAAAGGGTTTAATCCCTGTTTAAGCTGTCTGGAAGCCATTGGGGCTCTGTCACAGACCTATCAGCTATCACACCAGCTTGACTTGATCAGGACCTTACATACCTTTCACACACACACACACACACACACACACACACACACACACACTCTTGCCAGTAAGGTTTCACAGCCTCTACTGAATCATGACACAGATGAAAGATAACTCAAACACAAAGGATAAAAGTGTAAGCATACCCGTGTAGGCGCACCAGCATGTGCACACACCGGCGCACATCCAACAAAGACACTTGTAAGACTGAACTAAACTGCTGACTAACACGTTAAAAATGGATCAAACTCAGTAAAAGTAATTCTTTTCGCTCTGCATAGGTCTTTTGTATGTTTGCATTTTTCAATACTTTTTACAGGCTCGTAGATAAATCCATTTTCTTTACTTCCATTGCTGCAGCTGCCAGTAAAAGAGCTGACCTCCAGTGATGGGAATCCACAGCAAACTCCAGCAGCAAAGCATCTGCCTTCATGGAAAAAGTTTTTATGGGCCTGTACACTGCATATTATGTTTACTGAGGTGTAAACAGGTTGCAATAGTCACATGACCTTTGACTTGTGTCTGTGCGCCACAAAGCTCTCATCTTAAATCCATGCATTTGCAATCCTATGATCTCACAGTAGACCTCAAGTGATGGGAATCCACAGCAAACTCCGGCAGCAAAGCATGTGCACTCAAGCGAAAGCCTTTTTTACAGGCTGTACGCTGCATATTTTGTTTACATCGTCTCATGACCTTTGACGATTGTCTGCGCGCCACAGAGCTCTGAGCTTAAACCCATGCATCTGCAATCTTATGACTCACAGTATGCTGTTTCACTTATTTTATTTCTACTGCTTTACTCCTTTGAGTGCAATCTTCTGTCTGAATTCATAGGAGTATAAACTTTATTTGTTTACATCCAAAGCTATAAATATATATATATATATTCTAGTGTCTAAATATTTTATGACACGCCCTCTCTTTCATCTTTCCTGTCCACATAAGCCATAAACTACCTGCTAAACTAAGCTAAAGTAATGGGAGTAATCCATCAAATAGCTTTTATATCAGCATCACTGCCAGAAAAGTTGAGAAATGATATTGGCAGAGGATGGTAACATAAAATCCTCTATGTGTTTGCTAAAAGGTCCAGGGGGCCCAATTCCAAACTGTCCAGAGAAATTTGGGAAGCTGGAAGAAAAACTGAATGCGACAACGGGGGCCAAAACTGCTCTGCGGCACCTGGCCGCTCAAAGCTAACAGAATAATAATCAGTGTCTTAAGCTGCGTGTGCACGTGTGGTTTTTACTTGTGTTGTTTTTGTCTGCATTTTAAAGGCCTGCATATTCACATCATTATCACATCCAAATTGGGTTCAAATGTTAAACAGGAAAGCAGATGAAGTAAGCGTGGAGTCAGATGCATAATGGTGGATTTGGTTTCCTTTGTTCAGTCTTGATTTGAGTTTGCACCCCGAATGTGGGATAAAGTTATTTAAATATTTGGGATCAATTTTGTGCTCTACGCCCTGTGTGAGTGCGTGACAGGTCATAAACCAGCAGGAATGTTCCTATTGGAGGATTTCCAAGAAGCTCCAACCATCTGGTTAGCTCTCTGAGGTTTCCCCCCTTCATGCTACATTTACTGTACGTATGTGAATCAGGGCACCCCCAGGATTCTCAAAGTTAAATTTAAGACTTTTTAAGACCTTTTTAAGACCACCTAGGATGAAATATATAATACCAATACCAAATATAATACCAACTTCACTGCCGTTTAATGGAAAATCTGTATTAATTTTAAGCCCGAGAAAATTATTTACGAAGTTACATGAATTTAATAAAACATTTTATTATAATACATTCATATTTTACACATTATAGCTATTTTGGGGTGTGTTTGTACTTTGATAAGATAAAATGAATCAAGGACGTCACTTTGTGTTGAAAAGTGGACGATACTCTTAGCTTACATGAACAATTCACAATATTGGGTTCACGAGAACAAGACAAGAAGATATTTTAACACTATTTGATTACACATTCAATGCTGAAATATATTTAAATGGGGGTCTGGGGGTCCCCTAGGAAATTTTGAGCACTAAACACTTAATTTCCTGCATTCTGGAGACATTTTATGCACCAATTTATGGTAGAATTGTCTTATTTAAATAAAGTGATTCAGATTTTTTTAGCTTAAACTTTTTTGAAAAAAGCACATTTGTTTCTTTTATCTTTAAATTGCATTGCATGTTTTTTTATTGTGCAAATAAACCTTTCTCAAAGTATTTTCATTTGGTTTTTTTTTTAACATTTCTTGTTGCAAGCCATTTTTCAGAACATATGCTTTAAAAAAAGTGATGGAGACATGTCCCCAGTATCCACAGTGTAAATGACACCTGTGAAATGAATACAATATTTGTGCACTAAGAACTCTTAAGGGGTGAAATCAAAAATACAAACAAATTGTGTGGTATGAGTTGTTACAATTAGTTACACCTTGGCTAGATAAGGTAAAGTAATATAATATGCCAATTGCTTCAGTGATTATGCATCCTGTTCTGTTTTTCTAAAGCATCTAAAGGCTGCTTGAAAAATAATATTATATAGTATTAGCTTGAAAGCAGCGGGGATAAGGAGTTGGGCTCCGGTTTGTTTTTCCCTCGTTCTCGTGATCGGCGCATCTGGGTGATGTAAGTTTACCCAGATGCGCCAGATGCGCCAGATGCGCCGTGTCTGTGTGTCGCGGTCCTCGTCTCATACACACCTGTCTCTTTTGTTGCTGTTGTAACATCAACTGACCAGTAACCTGCAGCGGGTCTTCCAGCTCTGCTGTTCTATTAGCGCTCGCCAGTGTGACAGGTGTTGTGCCGAATTCTGCCTGCCGAGAATTGCATGCACCTCGTGGGTGCTAACGGTAATTTATACTGAGAAAACAGGTGATGCAAATCTCGGCAGGTAGCCTACAAAATTTGATCTGCCGAACTATGCATCCACCTCTTTAGGTTCTTGTCTAGACACTTTGCTATGGTCATTGATCAAACAGCGTTATCACCACATAGGCTATATTTACTGAATGTCAAGGAATGGTACTTCTACTAAGTGTATTAAAATTAATTCCTAAAATATATACTTCGAATCATTTATCACCATTGATGAAGCCCACAAAGAATTTTATAGCGTTTAAACGCATTATTTGGAGGTGGATGCAATTCTCGGCAGGCAGGCAAAACTCGGCACAACACCGGCTCGCACGCCGATCAGCTTGTTGTGCTAACCCCAGCGCCACTACCCTCGGCCTCGTCCGCCAACTTGTTCGGATCTCTGGCT